GAGCCAAGAGACCTGGATTCTATGTCTGGCTCTGCCACCAATATTACTATGTAGTCTTAGACCGGTCCCTTAACCTCTCTCTGACTCAGTTTCTGCTGAGATGATGAGGGAGAGGTGATGCTCCTTCTTTTGTAAAATGCATTGAGCTCATCACCTGAAAAGCATTATGTAAGTGACAAGTGTTTCTAATTTTTCCCAGTCTGTGACATCATGCTTCTACACATGCGGTTACATCACACTGTTAACTCCTGCATAGTTTAGCATCCACTTTTCACGTGCCTTCCCCCAGCGTTGGTGTATCCCACTCTTCTTTCTCCCACTGAATGTCTCTCTCAGGAACTCCCCCCACCCCACCCAACCCAAGAATTAGCTGCATTTTCCAAGATGACTAATCTTCAGTTGCCCACTGATATTTCAAACCTCTCTTGGTACCGCTATTTCGCTTCTGGCTTCGCTGATGTTTGAAGCTTCTGCCCAGGTTAGGATCATGGACAGGCTATTCTGAAATGCTTCATACTGTCACCCCACATCCAGCATTCCCCCCTGCCACGCCCCCGGGGCCTTCCACCCCCCGCTGCCCTATGCAGCGGCCCCCCACGCCTAGAGGGGCCTCCACCCCCCGCAGCGGCCCCCACGCCTGGGGGCCCCCCACACCCGCTGCCCCCCGACACGAAGTGCCCCCCCCCGGCTGCCCGCCAGTGGCCCCCAGCCGGGACCTGTGCGCTCCCCTCTGGCAAAGCGCCCGGGGGGGGGGGGGCACAAAGCCCTTCCCCCACGCCGGGCAAGAACCACTCACCTCCCCCAGCAGAAGGGGCCGGGTTCTACTCAGCCCAACTACGCCGCTGCTGCCCTCCGCGCCTGCGCCCGTCGCGAACTTTCATTGGCCGAGCCGGCCCCACCCCGTCCTCTCCGATTTCTCTCCCCCCGTGAACGTGCGGTCCCGCGCCCAGGTTCCGGCCCCCCCGAGACCCGCTCGCCAGGCGCAGGCGCAGGCGCAGCCCGGGTTCCCCGCCCGAGCCTTCCTTCCCTTTCCCCGCGCCCGCACCTCGCGAGCCGGGTCACGGGTGCGTGCGTCGCCATAATGCGTCCGGGTAG